ATAAGCATATGAATGACAAGGGCTGGCTTTAAGATTTTTTTTATTTTCTTAATCATTTTAATTTAGTTTAGAGGATGGAACAGCCGAGATGGACCAATAGGTTCCATGTTGTCCCAAAACGTTATGTTAAATCTTATCTGCATGTACTAAGCAGTCACCCATTATTTGTCAGTTCATACATTTTTCCAATCTCTTTGAAAATTTATTTTGCTTTCCATTTAGCAAGTAGCTGTGCATTAACTTTATCAATTATCTTTCTAGCCTCAAATTTTCTATTAGTTTATTTTTCTACCGAATATCTATCAGTACAACAAATACTAGATAACATAACCTTGGAATGAGCAGACATTGAATACAATACTTGGATTAATAAACATGAAACATAAGAAAAAAATTATTTTTGATAATCTTCATCAGTTAAGTTTATGAAAAATTACATATATGAATAACAAGAGCATCCATGAAATCTTACCAAAGCATTATGAAATAATTACGCTTATTCACTGGCACATAATTAATGCTTTTCTTCATTGTTTAAGACGTTTATCTAGATCTCATTAAAAATTATACTTGCAATTTCTCCTGGTCTTCCATCAAAGCCTACTTCTCCTTTTGCACCTTTCTCACCCTACAAAAGTTAATAAGGTGTTTTTTATATCTTTATTACAACCAAGAAAACATATATCCCAGAATATAATTAAACCTTTATAAATATTAAAATGCTGAGACAAAAAATGGAAGTAGAATAATTTAAGAAACTAGTTTTAAAATTGTCAATGTGAGAAATACTAAAAACCAGAAAAACATATTTTCAAACTTCTAGTTTACCAAGCATTTGAACTGCATAAAAGCATATCAAAATTCTTTAATTTATCACAAAATAATGTGCATAAAATCAGCATTTTAATTTAAGTTCAGGCCTATACTGAAATTATGCAGTTAAAATACCTTGTACACCTAACTTTTCTCTGACAAAAATTATTTCCAAAAATAAATTCCTCTATTTGTTACAAGATTTTTGTTTTGATGAATCTTATGCATCATATACACTGAATAAAATATAAGACATAATAAGTTCTTTGAATTTTTAATTATATCTTAATTGCCCCAAAACATATTTAATTTGTCTACTAATTTATAAAAATATATGTCACAATATTCAAAACTATATTACATACTAATATCCCATTTTTACTCTTTAATTCATCACTACTTCATAAGACTTCTTTATAAATAACAAAATTTAATTCTCACTTCGTTTGGAAATCAAATACAACATAGCTCCAGTTTACTGCATCAGTGTAAAATGTGGGCTGCTGATAGATTTTATGATACTCTAATTCAGTCAATAAGTTCAATGTTTTCTCATTAATTTTTAATTTAACTTGCTTTGCATAGAATGTTTAACATTATACATATTGCATTTTATAAAACTAGCTTCAGCTGTATAATTTAACATTCAATTTACTAATTTTTACATAACTATTATCCATCACATAATTTAATAATTATAGGTAATAAAATATAAATCTTTTCCACCCACTATTTTCTGTAATACTAGTTACTTGGCATTACACTTACTATTACTTTGATCACCCTCAAGTAAATACAGGTTTTTGACACTAGCTCACTTTGATAACTGTCAGTCACAAGAACACATTTATCGAAAGTTATATTTAACACATTGTGATGTAATAATGGGAGAACCATAATTTTCATGTTGTTCCTTAAAAACCAAGTTCTCTATGGTACAAGTCAAACTTATTAAGAATGACACCAATTCTTGGAATACTGCAGTATTTGAAATTTTTTAACATCTATCTTTACTGAATGATTTCAATCAATATCATATAAAAAAATGTAATCTTCAACATCATATTTAAATTTTATCATGTACAACACCTAAATGTACAAGTATAATTTATAGTTCACTTTAACTTCTTGAGTTGTATACCCTCTACAAATTTATCTTAATTGTGATAACTAAAGGAGGGTGTAATTAAGTGATTTAAATATCATTTGTATACTCCTGAAATAAAGTGTTAAGAATAAAATTTATCATTTCTTTTTATTTTTAAATGACTATTACTAGTATGTGTTAAATTGTCTTTATACTCTATTAAAGAATTAGGATATTGCCACCTAGACCCAGTTAAGGCATTTCTAAAACCTTACAGGATCATTCAATCACCTTCTTAGTTTTTTAATATTCTCATATTTCTCTATATCACGTGAACTCTATTTATTTTCTGAAGTATTATTTCTCAATTATGTTTTTAATTAAATTACTTTCTAAAATCTTTCATTATCAATTGATCTGTATTTTCTTTTCTTTTTTCTTTTTTGCTATTCCTCTGCCTTCTTCTAAACTGCCTTTTCTTGTTTAAACTATTAAAAATTGATTTATCCCTTTGACTTCTTTTCAGTTTTTATTTGAAATTGTACTATATATTCTGGTCTTCAAGGAACCACAGTTTTGTTTTTCTCATCATTTGATAATCTTTTAAGCTTCTAAAAACTGTCTTAGATATCATTTTTTGGCACTTATGTATAATGTTAAAATACTAAATAAATAACATGCAATGTAGAAAAAAAAATACATAGTTTAAAACATCTTTTAATTCAGACCAATCTATGGCTTCTAAAATGTTGACCCTAAGTTTTTCAATGTTACCACGTCATTAATAGGAATGACTTTCCAAGACATAAGTGTTATATTTATTCCTTCTTAGCTAGATCATATGACCTGTGTCTAGATTTACAATTTCTGCATAATTCTCAGAGGAGGCCCTGCCACATACTTACACAGATATTCACTGGACTTTTGTTTCTATTTAATAATTCATTATCTTTTTTAAAATTTTATTATTTCTAATGATTCACGAATATTATTGGCTCTAATACCCTTTGATTGAGTCAATATTACTGTTTTTTTCACACAGTATCCTATGTTGTGGTTTTTTTACAAATTCTTCTATGGCCAAATTTTCAGTCCTTTTATTTCATACATATGCACTTCCAAAGATACATAAAATTAATAACAATTTTAGACCAATATTATCAACTGCAGGTACATCATCATAACAAATAGCCAAATACATAGCTCAGAAGTATTCTTGTTTGAGAAATAAAAATAAATATACATGCAGTTAGAAATGCTTTAGAATTTGTAGAGAAAATCAAAAATGTAAAATTGAATAAAGAAGATTTGTTAGTGTTATTTGATGTAATATTATTATTTACAAATGCTCCAGTAGAAGATGAAATTAAGCATTTCAAAAATACATTGCTACAAAATGAAACTTCAGCAGTTGAAACTACAGATATAATTAATCTAACAAATGTGTGTGTAAAAAATCCATTTTTTCAGGTTAACAATATTTTTTATAGACAAAATGAAGGGTCAGCAACGGGATCCCCACTTTTACCATTGTTATATAAAGTAAATATGTATGCACTTGAAACAAAAGCCATAAATGGTGCAAAATGTAAACTTGATATTTGGATAAAGTATGTGGATGACACATTCTTGGTGTGGAGATATGGTAATGAGGCATTAACCGAGTTTGCATACTATTTGAATAGCATAGAACCATCTGTGAAGATATGATGGTAAGGGATTAACAAAGTTTGCATACTATTTGAATAGCATATCTGGAATTTATAAAAGTGAATGTGAATGTGGAAGTATTTATATTGAACAGACAAAACGTAATTTAAAATATCCTTTATCAGAACATAAAGGATGTGTAAGAAACAAAAGGACTGAAAATTCAGCCGTAGCAGAACACATATACAGAGCATAAGATATTATGGGAAAAAACAGTAATACCTCCTCAACCAAAGGTTATTAGAGCCAATAATATCTTTTAATCTTTAGAAATAACAAAATTCAATAAAGATCATGAATTATTAAATACAGATGAAGGTCCGGCAAATATCTGTGTAAAAATGTGACAAGACCTCTTCTGAGAATTATGCAGAAACAGTAAGTCTACACACAGGTCTTTTGACCTGGCTAAGAAGGAACAAATATAACTCTTATGTCTTGCAAACTCATTCCTGATGTTGAAATGGTAAATGTCAAAACATGTAGAGTCAACATTTTGGAGGCCACAGACTGGGCTGAATCTAATAATGTTTTTATTTGTGTATCTACTTTAACATTGTATATTATTTATTTATTAAAAATTATCTTGTTAATTTTGAATAAAGTGTTACCTTTTCACCTGGTTCACCTTTCATTCCTTGCTTAAACAGTGCAATATTAGGATCTGGAATCACTCTCCCTGTTGGTCCTTGCAGTCCCATGTCTCCTGGATAACCCCTGTTGCCCTTAGATTAAAAATAAAAATACATAAATATTACTCAACCAAGGTAAAATTTCTTAGTTTAAATGCATTGTATAAGACTAATCTTATATATATTGTGAACCACTGTGTCCGTCTGAACGTTCATCTGTGTTCCCTATGAAAAGCTGCTCATGCAGGCAAAGCTCAACATTCACTTTTGAAATGATGGGAGAACAGGCATGAATAATGTTGATTCCAACTGTTATTTCACAAGCAGAATATTCAACACTAAATTGTTAGAAATTAATCACACTATCATTCACATTTCAAAATATGATGTAACTTGAAGAATAAAAATGTACATTTACGGTACGTTATTGTTGAGGGACTCTTAGCATGACTGAAATGCTCAACAATTACCTTTCGCGGAGGGCGGTACAAGTAGCTCAAAACTTTGACTCCGAGTGAAACAAAGAGTGCAATGCAATTAACATTTTCAAAGTCCATGAATAGATAGATTGACTTAAACTTTTCCCATCACTTGGGATGGGTACTTTTGCTTGTACAACCATGAACTTCAAGCATACTATATAATGCATCTGTATTAATTCTTCAGCAAGCTTTCACCTTTCTTCAGAAATTTTATACACGCTTTTAAAAAGTACTAAGAACCAATACATAGGCATTATTGAGACAATATACTACTGTGGGATGTGAAAAGAAGAAAAAGGAAAATTTAAAATTCTGAAATGACTCACAAATGAAATTGTTTTTAAAAATTACAACAAAAATTACATAAGATCAAGAAACATTAGGTATAATAACAATAAACAAAATGTAAAATATACAATTTATAGTAATGTTTACTATAAAAATGGATGTGTGCAAGATTAAAAAAAAAGTTTTGTATGTATACTACTATATAAACATATTCTCAATCTGTGCTTATGTTCTGTGAAATAAATGAAAATTAAACAAAACTAGTACACTCTAGGACAATTAGCTTTTGTTTCACCATATATATATATATACACACACACACACATACATACACCAGGACACAGCAATAAAACTGAATCACTATTCAAACATAATTTGAAGCTAATTAAAATCCTGCATTCAGTGCTTACACATTTTAAACCATCAACATAATAGCTTTGTTTCAATGATGCAATATATACTATTACTAAAAAAAATGAATAATATTGTTTAGTACTTTTAATGTTTGGTGTGATTTGATGAGGACCTCTACCTGGAAAATAACTAAAAGCTAGCTCTAATACATATATCAATACAAAAAATTATGGTATTGAAAACACGTGTTTAAATTCTGTTTTTTATTTATCATCCATGTTAAAAGAAGAATCATTTCTTAATTTAGCTTTTTTTTAAATAATCTTTTGAAAAAAAACAACAACAGATTTTTAGATTTGATTTTTATAAAGCTTGACAAGTTTTTGTTTGGATGATATTCACTTCTAGTTTAGGGGAAATAAAATCAATCATGCTTAGTTTGATTTTCAAATTACTGTGAAAGTGTAAATGCTTAATACATGTTTAATGATTTTATAAGCAATTCCAAATTCAACATATGTTTATAATGTTTTAATAATAAATTTCTACCTTTCGTCCTTTGGATCCTTCCCTACCTTCTCCCATAGGCCCCTTAGGCCCTGGTTCTCCTTGATCACCTTTCATTCCCTAGAAAACGGGTACATTAAAATTTTCCATATTAGTAACTAAAGTTAACATTTGTAAAAACAATTTTATGCAAGAAAAACGTAAGTAAAATAAAAAAAATTATATTATTCATACTAAAAATAATATTAGAAATAAAAAGTAATTATCATATAGTATATCTATTCAAGATTTTACAAAATGTTTGAAAATATAAATCAATTGTATCTTAATCATAGCAATGTATGTAAGAATGTAAAAATTTTAATCATCAAATTTCTTACAAATCAATTGTATCATACATATATAAAGATATACAGTGAAATGTTAAACTATCCATATACTGTGGTGATCCACGAGACAGAAATGAATGCACAATAATAAACATTTTATACACTGTCAATGAGGTTATAAATCTAAACATATTGATAGCTTCACAATTTCCTTTGTATTATCCTATTTTGTAGTAAAACACACTGTATAACAACAGCTTTATAATGATCATCAGAAAGTCCTTGGTAAACTATTTCACACATTTTTTAACTCATTGTGAATTAAAACAAAATTAGCAGGGGTGTAAAAAGTACTAAAATATGTTACTCAAGTTCAAGTAAAAGTACTTTCAAAAAAGTTACTCAAATACAAGTAAAAGTATCCATCCTGAAATTTTCTTAAGTTAGAGTAAAAAGTGTCTACTGAATAAGTATTCAAGTAACAAAACTAAAAAGTAAACTCATCTGCAGTTCTCTCAAACCATACATGTACGTTGCGGGTCATGAGGTCTAGAAACAAAACCCTGTATGGAAAAGTTTTACCAAACTATGTAAATTACCAGTGATGTAAGATTTGTCATTCTTTTAGTTATCTAGAACACATTTGTTGTATATAATTTATTACTATGGTATTCACAACTACACTTATGGTTTCAGCCAACTCATACAGGCAACTAACTGCACATGAACTTATTACAGTAATGCCAATAATAAATACTGTACAAATCTTATTGTTTCAGAAAAAACTATATAAGGAATTAAAAAACAAGTATATGAATTCAACCAACTATATTATGCACAAAATTTCTGATTCAACTTAAGAAGCAACTGGTTTACAAAGTTGCCACAGTCAAGCCTTGCATGCAGAGGGCTGAAAATCTGCCCTGCACAACTGAAGAGATGCTCGCAAGTAGCAGGAGCAAGGAGTTCGTGTTCAAACATATGGCTATATCAGGTAGGGTGGGGAAAGACTTGAAAATCTCCATGCCATTAACAGAGCATGCCAGGTATGCCTCTAGGTCCCTCTTCCTGAAGCTATGCTGTGGCTTCAGAGTTCCCACGTACTCCTTGCATTTTTAGTGCCTGCCACAAATTTGAGTTTTGAGAATAGTAACAAAATGTATAAAATTAAAGGTACTTAAGTTAGAGCAAAAGTATTTGAAAATATAAATACTTTTTAAAAAGTAGATACTGAAAAAGTTACTCAAGTACTGTACTCAAGTAAAGTTACTTCTTACTTTCACAATCCTGAAAATTAGTAACATTTTTAGCCACCTGTGTAATGTTGTGTTTTACTATAAACTATTTGACAGTTCTCATTTGATAATGATAAAACAAGGTAATGATCTTAATTAACATTAAAGGAAGTCATAATTATTAGCACATGAAGGTAATAACAGGGTGAAAAATAAGATTCATGAACACTTGAGATTAATTAATTATATGATTTTGTGATAAATTCCTACTTCAAGAATACAAAACTGATATAAAACTGAGACTGTGTGGTAATGTTTATAAAAGTGTGAATATATTAAAATATCGTAATATTTTGAAAACTAAATTTTACAACAGAAATTGTTAAAAATGGTTAACTTATTGGTCAGGTAAAGGATCTGCATGCTTTAAGTATTATAGTAAATCTTTTAACTACAAAAAAAAAGGAAGGGGAAAATGCTATGTTTATTGTGATATTTGACAAAATCTTCAGATGACCTTAAGATGTTAAATATCATAGTTTTTTTTTAGATCTCCAGATCTGACCCATATTTTAAATTTCCATGAGTTATTTCTTTGTTTTTTTCTTTCAGAAGCTGATATTCCAAATCCTTTATTTAGAAATAAAAGAAACACTGTCATTAAAGGATTTTGGTTCACTCACTTGAAATGTTGTATTCGGTTATGATCAGTTCATTTAGAAAAAAATATTGAGTTGTTGGAGAATGTTCTTGGAGGAGCTATCTGGATTATTCCAGGTTTAGAGGGTTTATTATACAGGGATGGGTTAAACTTTCTTTATATGTTTTTACTGGAAAAGAGAAGGGCTTGGAGGAGACATGATTGAAGCTTTTAAGATGGATAGAAATTTCAAATCCATAAATTTAGATGACATTTTCATAAAATGCTCAACAAACAATAAGACTAGAAGGCAAAAGTTAATGAGATGAAAAACTCAGACATGACTCCAGTTCAGTCAGTATTACTTTTTAATAAGGTGGTCAGCTTACGGAATAGCTTGCCTCCAGATATGTTAGAAAATGCAACACTGAAAGAGTTTTTGAGGAGACTGGATTAGTATTTTAGACATAAAGATTGTATATCAGAAAAAAGAGGTTTCTATATATAGTTTGCAGCACGGGTGCAATTCTCAACAAAAATGTGGTGGTTCTCATATGCTCTTTAAACAAATTATTTTGCTCATATATGTAATTTATAATATAATTTACTTAAAAAAAGAACATACATACAATCATTGTTTTGATGGTTATAAAGAATGAAATATATATCAAACAAGCTTTAATTTAAAACTATAATAGTTGTAAACTTATGTCAAATGTAGTTTTTACTTTTTTTGATTCCCATTCCATTGAATGACAAAAAACATTATACATACTAATATTAGGGGCAGGTCCCAGTCAAATGAGTCTACCTGATTGATTTAATATTGATTGACATCAAAGCTACTAAATAGCTTCACCTCTTTATTTTCAGGCTAACAAGAATTAATGTCATTAGGTTATTTATTGGTTCAGTGGAAAAATATTTAATGATTGTTTAGTGTCTGTGAGTTGTGGAATGTCTTCTTACTGACAGTATGATGGATGGCATGTGGGTTGGACAAATAAGCAAATCAAAAAGTCCCAGTACCTGCATTTAAAATAAATCCTGGTACTGAGTACTGGTAGAATTTTACCATGGTTTGCAGTATAATAATAGTATAAAATGAGATAGCTTAATGGGCCAAATGGTCCATTTTTATCCCTTAGAAGTTATATGAAAATGCTATATTTCATAGAGGATATGGCTATAGGTATGCTTGAGAAAAATATGAAACCTTATAACCTAAGTGTTTTCAAAAGGTGAATCTTTCTTTGTCAGAGGCAAACTGTATATCATCCTAGACCTTGAGAGCATGAGTAATTCACATTCATTTGGTCTATTTTTATATACAGTTGTTAAAAAGACAACTAAATGTAAAATACATATGCTTACTAGAATTCCAGGAGGGCCACGAACTCCCTTTTCTCCACTTAGACCTGATAGTCCACGATGGCCCTAAAATTCAGATTTATAAAATTATTTATAAAAAAATTAAAATAAACATATAACAAATCACACAAATAAGCCTGACTTAAACAAGACTTAGACTTAAAATACAGATCTAAACAAAGCTAATGACTAAACGGTATTCTGGGTATCACACAGTTTTATAAATACATTAAACAAAACAAAGTGTTCTAAACTTGTGTGCATGTTGTACACAAAGTTTTTTTCTAGTTAGTGAGTAATCAATGAGGTAATAAAACTCATGGCGGAGTTATATATGTTAGACGCAGAGTATTAGTCTAATGTACACTTCTTTCATTATAGTTGTGGAGTTTTTATTGTTAAGTAGCCACAATTCAAGCACTGTGATAAACTACAAGTTTTAATCCAAAAAAGCAATGAAAATGGTAACTTGGAAATATCCAACAAACTTAGCTAATACATTTAACCTTCCAGTTAATCATATATTAACTCAACACACATGCCCACATCCACATTATTGAAACAATATTGTAAGAATTCAAACACTTTCAACTGAAATTTTTGGTGGAATTTCTTCCAGCTCAATTGAAAAAAAAAACGAAAAAATATTGTTAATATTTTTAGAACACATAATACCTAAACAGTAACAACTATTTATAAAAGCCTTAATATTAAGTGATGTAGGAAGGAGTTACAAAGTGTGGGTGCTTGAATAGACATGGAGATTTTACAATAAAAGGTTGAAAGTAGCTTCCATACCCTCAAAGGCAACTCAATCTAAGGGGTATGGGGGGTGTGCCCCCTAGAAAGTTAATATTATAATATAATTTATAGTTGCTATATAAATCAAATATGTAAAAGTGGGGTGCTACAGTATCCCCAGTTCTCACACCTCTGCTAGAAATCACTATTTTACATTACTAAGTTCTTGATAATGATGAAATTCACTTTAAATGTACAAAAGCACTTAATAAAAACAAAAACTACAAACTGTTTTAAAGTAAGAAAATGTCTTACTGTAGTTCCAGGTTGACCATCTTCACCAGATTCACCTTTAACTCCTATAGAATTAATTCCTCCATCTCCTGGATCCCCCTAAAAGAATTAACTATAAGATACATATTTCCTCAAACACAGACCATTCCAATAGAACATGTTTATAAAGATATTTCAGCACAGTTCTCTCCTAGTGTTGTTCATTTGAAAATAACCTCTAAACAGCTCTTAAAAGCATGAAACATTACAAAAACTATTATATAGTTCACTTATTAAGCATAGGATACTAAAATAAAAATCATTAATCAATACTTCTAAACATCACACATTAAAAGAACTACTATAAATATCATTTTTTAAATACTATGCTTATAAAAACTACTATAAAATATCCTCTTTAATGTGACATTTTAGGAAAAAATTCTAGAAAGATCCCTCCTTATACACATCACATTATTTTGACAAAACATGAAATAGATCTTTCTTCAAATGTTGATGTAGCTACATAGTACATTAGACACATGACTAAGAAGGCCTCTTGTTAATTATATTACTAGACAAAGAGCTATAAAAATTTCTCCTTAAATAAAGTACATTTAACAAACTATCACAAAGGCTTGTTCTTCAACAAGCTATCAAAATTATCTATCTTTTAAACACAGCCCATTACACAAACTAAAATAAAAATCTCTTCTCAAACATAAATCAGATCTTTATGTACATATTTCTCTTCCCAAGCACAATACATTCAAAACTTCTGTCTGATCTCAAATCATGACTTAACACTGACCACAAATTTCAGGCTGATAATAGGTAAATGGATGAATGTTTTTGCTATGTGTTAGTTAACATGTAAGTTGCTAGTGATACAGTAAGATTTTGACAGCTTTTGCTAAAAAAATGATTTAATGATATTTGAAATAAGTTTAATTACATAAATAAAACTAGAATAGCACCATATTTTAACAAAATCGCTTGGAAGTTTTAATATAATAAATATTATAATAAAAAATTTTTAAATTACTATATTTTTGTTATCAATCTTCTTAATAATTATTTCTTAGTCATCAAAAATTACAGAATAAAATGCAAAACTACAGTTAACTTTTTTTGTAACACAATTTTTTTACCCTCATTCCATAATCTCCAAGTGGACCAGGTGGGCCCCTTGCACCAGGGATTCCTGGATTTCCTGATTGGCCAGGCTTTCCCTAAGATCAACAGATATCAATGTATTTAGTGCATATAGTACTTAGCATTAAACACAAGCTTTGTTTAGTAGCAGTTACGAAAATGGTAAGAAAAATCTAAGAAAAACTTATATTTATATAGAGCAATGACACATTCTATTTGCATCATAAAAAGTTAATTTTCTTAACAAAGCACAGGATGTATTTTGTGAATTTGAAACCCAAGATTTTTGTTGTACAATATCTATATAATAAAACAATTTATAAAATAGTATAAAATTGATTTTGAAATATGTGGTAAATATTTGAGGCTTCATACTATCAGCTTTTAAACTAAAAGTTCCTAGTTGTAACAAAATTATTGAATTTAATACTTACATCTGTTCCATTACATCCTGGAAATCCTTGCTTTCCTTGTGATCCTTCATCTCCAGGTAAACCCTACAAACAAGAATTGTAATTAATATTTATATACCTTAAGAAATTCAACCTTTGGAATATGTTAGAAGTGTTTGGAAATTTTAAATTCAAAATCATATTTGTTATAACACCTTCATCTAAAGTTCAGCTTCCACAAAATAAATAAGTTAATTTGTCAAGTTTAACCCTCATGAAAAACCTGCTTGTACTGACATGTTTTAGGAAACACTGAAAAAGATTCTTAATCAGATAAATGTACTACAATGCACTTAGATATCTTTTGAAGAAAGAAATCTGCTATAACTTTCCTCACCATCAACTCCTCATCCAGTGCTGTGTATTAAAAGCAAATATGACATCTCATGACAGTTTCAAGTGATGGAAGATAAACAACTTTAGTTATGTTTATTCAGAAATGCACTTCTCAGCATGACTTTTATATATTTCTGTGGGTGCATGAGTACATAAAGCGACACAAATATGAAAAAGACATTTCCATTTATGAAATATTAAGTAATAATACATTAATACTCTGTACTTTGTTACATAAAGACATTCTTAACAAAATACTACTATTTTGAAATTATGTATAAAAACAGCTCATTAAATGTTAATACCTGGAGTAATTTTTAGCAGTCTAGTGATGGTTAGAAAACCTCTTCCTTGTAATACCAACAACTTGAAACCATAGTGACAGACATTGGGAAATAAAGTTTTATAATACATTGACATGAATTGGACTTTTAACTTACTGAAATACCAGCAGGCCCGGTGAGTCCTGAAGTGCCTTGTTCACCCTGGTGATTTAGACAAAAAAATGCTTGATTACATTACAATATTGTAGTTCATTCAAAAGGGTATTGCTGGAATCATATGACTTGTATCTATGCTATTAAAGCAATTGGATATTTTCCTCATGCTTTGTTCTCTAGTAAAACATTATTTGTATGTCACATTATCATTTTTGTTAATGAATAATTTTCAAATGTTGTTTAAAAACATTAAAAAATAGCCTCTTTTCAACTTGTCATAATGTTTTATTTTTTTATCTATTATTTAAATACATCTGTAAACCAACCCTAATGCCCTGCTGACCCATAGCTCCACTCTCTCCTCTTTCTCCACGATCACCCCTTGGACCATAAGGTCCTTCCTCACCCATACGACCTGGTGGTCCTGGTGGACCTGGGATTCCTGGAAGGCCTACAATACCCTGAAAATGGATAAGATGTGAAGGACAGTCAAAATAATGTTCATGTTTACTGAAAAGTAGTAAAGCAAAGATGTTATTAGTCCCATAAATGAGCACTGACATATATTTCCCATACAATCTCATGTTCAACTATGTTATTGCTGTTTTATACAATATCTGTGAATAATTATAATATTGAATAATTTATATTAAAAAATATATTTTTTTACCAACCTTATGAACTTACTATTGCGTATAATCTCTATGACAGACATAAAACATATTGTTACGTCTCTGGCTGTTTGTTAATTTCCCGTAAAAATTAGTTCCGAAGAACTTCAACGATACAAGTCCTTTCTTAAATAAAACTAATTTATTATTTCTCAATACAACTTTGAAATACACTTAATTTCCATAGTCACTTTAACTTAAACACACGCTACAATTCACAACGATTCACACACTTTACTTACGGTCACTACTGCTCACTTGACTCAATTATTTGTCTCTATACTATACAATTACATATGCCGTTACTCTTCATCTCTGCTTTATTTGCCGGGCTTATATACTAAAATAGAGGGCGTCTGGCAAATACTAGAGTTTCCAGGAACAGTCATGACCCTTCTAGAAACTCATGACGTGACTTCCGCTGTCTGTTGTAACACTGGCCCTTCCTTAGTATTGTTCGTCCCGAACAATAGCCACTTACAATAAACCAATAGATAATTAACAATAACTTGATTAAATGTACAGAATTTACAAACACAAAATTTAAAATACAACAAAGTCTCTTAATTTTACGGGACGTATCTTCTTCCGTACTGGCCTCCGTCTCGTTGGCTTCTGCTTCTCGTGGGGTTCATCTGCTCCATCAGGAAATGTCCTATTATTGGTAACAGTCACATCAGTTGTAGTAACTTCATTAAGGGCTTCACTATTTCCCTTCTCTAAACCAGGTAGAGCTTCTTCTTCGACAGTGGCTTTTTCAGGTGACACGTCTTCAGCAGCGTCATTTGTTCCATTGTTCCTTTCGTTCCAACTGGTCCTGGACCATGATAACGCCAAAGCCTATTGGCATGCACCACCTTTGGCTTACCTCGCCAATCACATTTATTCGGAAAGTCACGTCTGAGAGACGATCCACTATGTCATATGGGCCTTCCCATGGAGAAGATAACTTAGGAGACTTCCTTTTGGTCTTCCTGGAATTATACAACCACACTGTGTCTCCTGGTACAAAGCTGACTTCAGTAGATCTCTTATCATAACATAGCTTCATCAAATCAGCAGACGTTTTCAAGTTTGAGCACACTTGATGGTGAATATCATCCATCCTTTTAGATAACTCTTTCACGAACTCTGACACATTTTCAGGCAACTCTTTGTAGAGTGGGCGTTCTGTTATCAGATCCACTAGCAACCGAAGTTCCCGACCAAACATCAGCTTTGCTGGAGTGTATCCAGTGGCTTAATTGCTCTACTGTTCTATATGCCATCAACAGTGAAGGGAGTAAGACATCCCAGTCATCTTGGCGGCTATTACAAAACTTTGCCAATTCCTGTCCCAGTGTCCAATTGTACTTTTCTACAATCCTATCAAACTGTAGGTGAACTACCGCCTATTCTCGAAAGTTGTAGATGATTCTCGAGTGTAAGAATCAACAATATATGTGTGTACGTAAACACTAGTATTAGCATCAGTATTGTTACGTAAAACTGAAATTTCGAGAAACTCTCCACACGCCTATAAATATAACTAACGCGATATGACAAAGAACAGTATCTATTATTGGGTTGCTGTAATTGGTGTGCTATAAACTTCGTTAGCTATAACTATGATTTACGCTTATTAATCGGGAACTTCAGATATATTGACTAGGCACGTTTATAAATTTCAATTGTTTGTTTTGTTTTTGAATTTCGCGAAAAGCTACACGAGGGCTATCTGTGCTAGCCGTCCCTAATTTAGCAGTGTAAGGGAAGGCAGCTAGTCATCACCACCCACCGCCAACTCTTGGGCTACTCTTTTACCAACGAATAGTGGGATTGACCGTCACGTTATAACACCCCCACGCCTGAAAGGGCAAGCATGTTTGGTGGGACAGGGATTCGAACCCGCGACTCTCAGATTGCGAGACGAGCACCCTAACCACCTGGCCATATCGGGCCTTATAAATTTCGAACATTACAAATCATTCAACTTCAGTGAATTCACATCCGACATTGGCACTTTTACGAAGACATTACCTAAAGTCACCAATAGGAAAAATCGACGTGTGATCAGTGAACTTCACAGAGCTAGCTAGCTCCCTATTTAGTGAATTGTACCTACATCAACTCGAAATTCACTCGCTATTCGTGAACCCTCAATAAGACATCAAGGAAGTTCCAGACTAGAAAGAATTTTTATTGCTTGTAAGTTTGTGGAACTTTTTATATAAATCATTGTTTGTAGTAGCTGTTTGTAATAACGGTTATTGTAAATTGGAACTGGTGTATTTAAGTGTTTTACACTCACAAAAAAGAAACCTATCATTCTATAGGTATTTGAAGAACTTG